GGGGGAAGGAAGAGGAGGAAAAGCAGAAAGATGGGGAGGGTGAGGAGGAGGTAGAGAAGAAAGGTGGGGAGGAGGAGAAAGGGGAGGAGGAAGAAGAAGAGGCAGAGGAAGAGGAGGAGGAGGAGGAGGAGGAGGAAGAAGAGGAGGAGTCAGACTGATTGACTGATTGACTGGCTGACTGACATACACAGACAGACAGAGGGGACGATTAGACACAGCGGAGGGAGACGAACAAACGATAGACTCAGAATTAGGACGAAAGCGCATTACTCTCGCCGGGACAAGGATTACCAGGACATGTCGCTTCGTAAAAAAAAAAAAAAAAAAAAAAAAATCTTTTTCCTTTCTCTCTCGTCTCTCTCTCTCTCTCTTTTTTTTTTCTTTTAATTTCCTTTCATTTTGGCGTAAGAGTTGATTATTATTTTTACTTCCCGGCTGCGAGGACAGTCCGCGAGACCCTGGGAAGTGTTCTAATCAAGTGTTTTAATCCGATTTTAAGGTGTGATTGGGAATGAGAGGGAGAGAGGGAGAGGGAGGGGAGAGGGGAGAGGGAAGGAGGGAGAGGGGGGGAGAGGGAGAAGGAGACAGAGAGGGAGAGAAAAGGCGTAAGGAAAGGCGGAAGGGATGAAGAGAGAGGGAGGGAGGGGAGAGGGGGAGAGGAAAGAGGGAAGAGGGGGGGGAAGGAGGAGAGAGGGGAGAGGGCAGAGGGAGAAGAAGAAAGAGAGGGAGAGGGAGAGAAAAAGCGTAAGGAAAATCGGAAGGGATGAAGAGAGAGGGAGGGAGGGAGGGGAGAGAGAGAGAAGGAAGAGAAAGTGAAAGAGAAAGTGAAAGAGTGGCAGAACTTAAGCAAGGGAGGAAGAGGGAGAGAGGAAGGGAAAAGGGAGAAGGAGAAGGCAATTAAGAAGAGAGAAACCGCAGCATCCGATAAGGGAAAACCGAAATAGAAATAAGAAAAGACACGCGAATGATAATCTGGCAGACGCCGGCCGCCCATGGATCATCCTCAAGTGACTCTTAAAGGATGAACTGAGGAAGTGCGCCGCTGGAGGGAAGGAAGAGGAGGAGGGGGGAGGGGAAAGGAGGAGGAGGGAGAGAGGGAGAGGGGGAAGATGGAAGGAGGAGGGAGAGGGGGAAGAGGGAAGGAGGAGGGAGAGAGGGAGAGGGGGAAGAGGGAAGAAGGGAGAGAGGGGATGAAGAGGGGGATTTGAGAGGAGGGAAAGGGGAGGGAAGGAGGAGGGAGAGGGGGGAAGGAGGGGGAGGGAAGTGCATCACTGGAGGGAAGGAAAATGAGGAGGAGAAGGGGAGGGAAGGAGGAGGAGGGACAGTGTGGCTGACACAACCCAGGCACCCGCGAGTGGCACCTGGGTGTTGGGGGGGCCATTCAAGTGCCACGTGCTGCCTCCTTTTTCCCCTCGCTTCGTCGACATCGGGATGTGTGTTGTGTCGTGTGTGTGTGTGCTTGTGTGTGTGTGTGTGCTTGTGTGTGTGTGTGTGCTTGTGTGTGTGTGTGTGTGTGTGTCTGTGGAGTCAGGGACTTCAGCCATGCCTCTGGTACCTCCCCAACCCCCTCCTTCCCCCTTCGCCTTCCTCCCTCCCTCCCACTTCCTCCCTCCCCTTCCCTCTCCCACTCTTCATCTTCCTCTCTCCTCCCCCACCCCCCTCTCCCCCACCCTTACCGAAGTATATCTAGAAGCGAGTCCGTCCGCCATTGTACGAGTGGAGGGGGGAGAAGGGGGGGAGGAGGGGAAGGAGAGGGAGAAGGGGTGGGGGGGTTGAGGTTCGCCTATTTTGGACCTTGATAAACCCTTTCAAACGGATGGATTGGATTCCCGCGCTGGTGGTGGAGTGGGCAGCGGCGGGTGGGGAGGTTGGGGGGTTGGGGAGCGGGTGGAGAGGTTGGGGAAGGGGGGTGGAGGGGTTGGGGAAGGGGATGGAGAGGTTGGGGAGAGGGTAGAAGGGTTGGGGAAGGGGGTGGAGGGGTTAGGGGAGCGGGTGGAGAGGTTGGGGAAGGGGGTGGAGAGGTTGGAGTGAGAGAGGGTTGGGTAGAGGGTGGAGGGGGTGGCGTAGAGGAGAGAGGGGTTGGGGAGAGGGTGGGGGCATAGGGTGAAAGTGGAGGGAGAAGGGTTGAGGCGTAGTGGGGGGAGGGGGAAGGCGGAGTAGTGGGTAAAAGTGGGTAGAAAGAGAGAAGCACATGAGTATATATTCTTTTTCTTTCTTCTCTCTCTCTCTCTCTATATATATCTATCTATCTATCTATCTGTCTATGTATCTCTGTCTCTCTTTATCTCATCCATCTTCACTTCCATGATTATTTATGCAAACCTCATTATCATGAAGATAATAGTGTTTTTTTTTTATTTTTTTTTATAATAAAATATTTAAAATATAAGATATCATCACTTAACACCTTCCTTATCATCATCAATTATCTTACAATTTTCCTTTCCTTCCTTCGCATTGTTGATACTTTCTCCCCCTCCCTTTGGCTAAAAGGAATAGGAAGAGAAGGGGAAAAAAGGGAAATGAATGAAAGAAGGAAAGACAGCTCATTTTGCTGCCAATCGAAGGTCGTAAAATGCAGAGTCCTGTGCATTTTATTGTCGTCTGATCGCCATTTTATTCCTGGTGGGGGGGAGGGGGGAGAGAGGAGAGAGAGAGAGAGAGAGAGAGAGGTGGGTGTCTGGAGACGCGGATGAAAGTGGGGGTTGGTGGGGTTGCAGTGCGTTACTTTCGTTCGTGTCTGTGTGGGTTGGCTGTGTTCAAAGCGGGTGTTCCGTCTGTTAAGGCAGGGGGGGGGAAGGGGGAGGGGAGAGAGAGAGAGAGAGAGGTGGGTGTCTGGAGACGTGGATGAAGGTGGGGGTTGGTGGGGTTACTCTCATTCGTTTCTGTGTGGGTTGGCTGTGTTCAAAGCGGGGAAGGGGTCTGGAGACGTGGATGAAGGTGGGGGTTGGTGGGGTTACTCTCATTCGTTTCTGTGTGGGTTGGCTGTGTTCAAAGGTGGTGTTCACTCTGTTGAGCCAGACTGACTGGTAGATAGTGGAGGAGACTGGTTCTGTCGCATACGTACACATACGCTCACCTGGTTGTGTGTACGCGCGCGCGGACCTCGACGCTACCCACCCCACCAACCTAAGAAATCCCAAAGCATCCTGAGGAATATATAAATTTTTCCTCCAAGAAGGAGGAGGAGGAGGAGGAGAAGATGAAGAAGAAGAACAAGAACAAGAAAGAAAGAACAGAGAGCATGAAAGGGAAAAGAAGAACCAGAAAGGAAGAGAAGACGACGAATGAAGGAAGGAAGAAGGAGAACGAGGGAGCGAGGAGGAGCGAGAGCAAGGCAACCGACTTGAGGTCCAGCCAAAGCTAGCGAATAATGCCGCTTCCTTTGTGACGACGCTGAAGCCGGCCCTGTGGGGGGTGGGGGGGGGGAGGAGGAAGATGGAGGAGGGATAGAGGAGGAGGAGGAGAAGGGAGAGAAGGAGGGAGGAGGAGGAGGAGAAGGGAGGGAGGGAGGGAGGGAAGAGGAGGAGGAGGGAGGAAGGGAGGGAAGAAGGAAAGACGAGGAGGGAGTAGGAGGAGGAGGAGGAGGTGCAGCAAAGGAAGGAAGAGGAAGGGGGAGGTATTGTATTGGATTCGGAGGGGTGTGTGTGTGGGGGGGGGGGGAACTTTGACGGAGGAGGGGGGGAGGTAAAAGGGGGAAGGGGGGGGGGGAAGGGCAAGTGGACGCCTAGGAGCTTTACCGGAGCGGAATTACTGTAGTTTTTATCCTCCGTTTTTATTAGATCTATTGATGTATTTTCCGTTAATATTTTCGAATCTTAAGCTTTTATTTTTAATCTTAACTTTTCATTAAAAAAAAAATTGTTTGTGATGATTTATCTGTTCGTCTTATCATTAGCTTTTTTTTTCTTTTTCACTTGTATTATTATTTTTCGTTTCGTCGAACTGTTGTTCGTTATTTGATGTTCATTATGAACGCTGCTGAACTTTTATTTTTAATTTTATTGTTGTCGTTGCTAGGGTGATGATTGTCAACATTGCTACGTATACATCCTATCCTTAATATTTGTTTAAAAACTTGGTATTATTGTTGTTATTATTATTATTATTATTATTATTATTACTATCATTATTATTATTATTATCATTACTATCATTATTGTATTATTAATTATTGCATTGTTGAATTTATTATTTGATTTTTAATATCATCTGTATTTGATGTTTTGGATTTGGATGTCAGGAAGAGAAAGAAAAAGAGAGGGGGGGAGGGAGGGGAAAAGGGAGGGGAGGGGAGGGGAAGGGGGGGGAGGCGCTAGCGGAAGAACCTCCGGAGGTAAAAATATTTCGAACCGGATTCAATCTTATCCGAATTTCTCGCTACTTTTCTGGGTGGCGAGACGTCGGCGGCGCCAGATTTCGAGATCGTGTGCGCGTTTGGGAGGGGTGTACGTGTACGTGTGTCGAGGGGGGAGGGGTGTGTACGTGTGTCGAGAGGGGGAGGGATGTGTGTGCGTGTGTGTGTGTGTGTTAAGGGGAAGAGGTATTATTAGTATTATTGGCATTATTATTATTATTATCATTACTATTACTATTACTTACGTACGTTATTGACATTATTGTTGTTATTTACAAGAATATTTACATTATTAATTACATTATTATTGATAAAAATATCATCATCGCCATCATCACCATCATCATCACTAATATCATCATCATCACCATCATCATCATCACCACATCATCACCACCATCATCATCATCATCATCATCATCATCATCATCATCATCATCATCATCATCATCATCATCATCATCATCATCATCACCACCATCATCATCATCATCATCACCATCATCATCACTAATATCATCATCATCACATCATCATCATCACCACCACAATGATCATCATCATCACCACTATCATTATCTATTATAATTATTGCTGTTGCCACAATCCTTCTCATCAACTCGTCCGTTTCCTCTCATTCCAGGCTTCGGTTTCGTGACCTTTGAGAGCGAAGATGTTGTGGACAAAGTCTGTGAGATTCACTTTCACGAAATCAACAACAAGATGGTGAGTACAGTGTTCGAATGTGACGGAGATTCTGGCGGTTGGCTGTTTGATAGTGAGGTCTGATTGTGAATGAGGATGAAGTGAGTGTTCTATTTTGTGTATATATCATTTTTTTTTAATAATTCGATTTCCTTTTGTTGGGTTGTGATGGTGAAAGGATGTTGATGATGATGGTGTTTTTTTGTATAGTGTGTTTCGTTGTGGTTATGGTGAGAGTGTCCGTATGGTGTTTTGAGATTGGATGGATTGCGAAGGATTGTTTGTATTCTGATCTTTGAGGCATGTGTGTGTTTGTGTGTGTATTTGCATGAATATGTGTATGTATTTAGATTGTATTAATATGTGTGTGTGTGTGTGTGTGTGTGTGTGTGTGTGTGTGTGTGTGTGTGTGTGTGTGTGTGTGTGTGTGTGTGTGTGTGTGTGTGTGTGTGTGTGGGTTTGTGACTGTTGTTTTTCAGGACGTGTTTTATGATTTATTTCGGGACGATTCAGTTCCATTTTAGTATTAAATGTCGTCTTTCGTGATTTATTTTGATGTTACATTTTTCCTCTCTACCCCCCCGCCATTCCCTCCTTCCCTCCCTCCCTCCCTCCCTCTCTCTCACACCATCCTCTAATGTGTCTTCCCTCTACCCCCCCCCCCCCCCCGCTTCCACCCCTCCTTCGCCCATCTAACCAATGCCTTATGCCGGATATAGCTACCCCATCGATGTCTTATACTGGAGCAGGACAGTTTTGCCTCCCTCCCCTCCCCCTCCTCCCTCCTCCCTCCACTCTCCTCCCTCCATCCTCTCTCCACCCTCCTCCCTGCTCCCTCCTCCCTCCTCCACCTTCCACCCTCCTCCCTCCTCCTCCCCTGCTCCTTCCTCATGTCCTTCCTCGGCTGCCTTCCTCTTCGTATTCCTCTTCCCCTTTTCGCTCGCTTCCCCTCTCCCTCCCTCCCCTGTCTCCTCCACTGCGCCCTCACACTCCTCTCCCCCTTCCCTCCCCTCCTAATAGATCCCTCCCCATCTCCCCCCTCCGTCCCTTCCCCATCTCCCCCCTTCCTCACCCCACCCCATCTTCTCCCCTTCCTCACCCCACCCCATCTCCCCCCCTTCCTCACCCCACCCCATCTCCCCCCCTTCCTCACCCCACCCCATCTCATCCCTCCTCCCCTCCGTCCCCTCCGTCCCCTCCGTCCCTCTCCCCACCCCGCCCCCGCCCCCCTTCTAGCTACGTTGATAGATTACATGTACCTAAAAGGGAGAGGGATCTCAATGGGAGAGATATGGCAACAGGGTATGGCAGCCATATCAGGAATACGCGACGTTCCATTTCTCCGGTAACCACAGAGTTGGGGGAGGGGGGGGGGTGAGGGTTGGAGGGGAAAGGGGGTGAGGGAGGAGGAGAGAGGGGGTGATGGAGGAGGAGAGAGGGGGTGAGGGAGGGATAGGGAGGGGGGGGAGGGATAGCGAGGAGGTACGGAGATGGTGGGGATGTTGGAGGATAGGGAGAGGGGGGGGGATGGAAGGGGAAAGAGGGAGTTTGGGGGATACGAAGGAGAGGGGGAACATAATATGAGGGGAAAGTGGAGGTGGAAATGACGAAGAAGAGAAGAAGGGAGATGATAAATAACATATAAGAATTGGGTAGATAAGAATAGGAGAACATAATCCAAAAATGGAATGAGAAAATGGAATGAACAAATGAAAATGAATGGAAAGAGAGAGAGAGAGAGAGAGAGAGAGAGAGAGAGAGAGAGAGAGAGAGAGAGAGAGAGAGAGAGAGAGAGAGAGAGAGGGAAAGCTAGAAAGCGAAAAAAAAAAAAAAAAGAGAGAAAGGACAAAGACAAAGAACAAGCAAAAGAAAAGAAAAGAGAGCGAAAAAAAAAAAAAAAAAAAAAAAAAAAAAGAGAAAAGGAGAGAAAGAGATTGGTCGAGGAGGAGGGAAGAGAAGAGCTCTTAGGCGAGGGGAAATGGAGGTGACATATGAAGATGCCGATGGGGTGGCTCCTCAGTAGACAATATCCCGGTGTTAGGAATAAAGGGGAAAGGGACAGGAAAGGGAGGGAGAGGGGAGGAGGGGGAAGAGGACAGGAAAGGATGGAAGGGGAAGAGGTGGAGGATGACAGGAAAGGGAAGGAGAGGGTAAGAAGAGAGGAAAGGGAGGGAGAGGGGATGAGGGCAGGAAAGAGAGGGATAGGGGAAGAGGACAGGGAAGGAAGGGAGAGGGGAAGGAGGAGAGGGAAGGGAGGGAGAGAGGAAGAGAGAGGAAAGGGAGAGAGAGAAAATAAGAATGGAAGGGACAGGAAGAAAGGCAGGGGAGGGAGCAAGGAGAGAGAAAGGATGAACAGAAAGAGCAGAAAAAAGGATGGGTGGGGGGGGAAAGAGGGAAGAGGGGAAACGAAAATGTCTCTTAGTTGAGAACTGCTGCTTGAGGGAGAAAGGGGAAGCGCCTCGACCCCTCGCGATAAGGATATGAGTCTTCTTTGGCTTCTGAGGGGAAGCGGGAGAGGGCAAGGGAGCAGAGGGAAGGAGGGAAAGGGAAATAGTGGGATGGAGAGAGAGAGAGTGAGAGGAAAGGGTAGGAAGGGAGGAGGGGAGAGAGAGGGAGGGAAAGAGAGGAGGGGGAGGGAGAGGGAGGAAAGGAGGGAAAGGAAGGGAGGAAGGGAGGGGTGGGAGGGATGGAGAGGGGGAGAGTGAGGAGGAAAGGAAGGGAGAAAGGGAAAGGGAAGAGGGGAGAGGGGAAGAGAGAGAAAGGGAGAAACAGAGGGAGGGAAAGATAGAACGGGGACCGAAAAGGGAGTATGAAAAGAAAGGAAAGTAGAAAAGGAGGAGAAATATTAGATCAGATAATAAACGAAGAGAGAGAAGGGGGAAGAGGAAAAAATAGAAAGAAAGGAAAAGAGAGAAAAAAAAGAGAGACCTGTAAAAGGATAATAATAAAATCAAAGCTAAAATGCAAAGCAAAACCAGAAGAAAAAAGGAAATGAAATCAGAAATGAAAAAAGGTACACAAGAAAACAAAAACAAAAACTAAACAGAAGTAAATGAAATCAAAACATATCACGAAAATAAACCAGAGAAAAACACACACAACATAACCCACCTCTCCCCCCCCAAAAAAAAAAAAATCTATAAAGAAAGAAAGAAAGATAGAACGAAAAAAATAAATAAAAAAATCAAAAGCAAAAATCTGCAAGAAAGCCAAAAGGGAAAGTGAAAGGCCGAGTTCCCTCCCAGGTGTTCGTTCCATTCCATAGATTTTCAGAGTCGGCCGCTCACAGGCCTTGAATGATCCCTGCAACACATGCCTTACGGTGTCAATACGATGTCCCGTGCATTCTCCTGACATCTGTTCCCGGCGAGCAGATGTCACGGGAGACTGCGCCGGTCGCCTAACAATGCCCTGGTATTTTCGGAATGTTGCTGTACATGCAGTCCATTGTCTCCCGCGGCACATACGTACATGCACGCTTGCATCACGCACAGACGCGAGCTTGTCTTGTACTCACGTGTGGTAGCTCTCTCTCGGGCGAGGGTGTTTGTTTGTTTGTTTTTGTGTCTGTTTATGTCTGTTTGTCTGACTGTCTGTTTGTCTGGCTGTCTGTTTGTCCCTCTCCCTCCCTCCCTCCATCCCTCTCTCTCTCCCTCCCCTTCCTCTTTTCTCTTCCTCTATCTCCTCTCTCTTCCTCTGCTCTCTCTCTCTGTCTCTCTCTCTCCTTTTCCTCTCCTCTTCCTCTCTCTCTTCCTCTTCTCTCTCTTCTCTCTCCTCTCTCTTCCTCTTCTCTCTCTTCCTCTTCTCTCTCCTCTCTCTTCCTCTCTCTCTCTCTCTCTCTCTCTCTCTCTCTCTCTCTCTCTCTCTCTCTCTCTCTCTCTCTCTCTCTCTCTCTCTCTCTCTCTCCTCTCTCTTCCTCCTCTCTCCCTCTCCCTCTCCCTCTCCCTCTCCCTCCCTCTCTCTCTTCCGTACACATGTTTTGAGATTCACCAAGGATTAGGAGAGTCCCTGCAGTGGGATCTTGGTCTGTTCAAATATTTGTCGGTGATTTAGTGGTATGAAAGGTGGGGATCTCAGGTATGCCGTCGGCGGATTGGGGTGAGAGGGAGAGAGGGAGAGGAAGAGGGAGAGGGAGAGGGTAGAGAGGGAGAGGGTTGAGAGGGAGAGGGAGAGGGTAAAGAGGGAGAGAGGGAGAGGGTAGAGAGGGAGAGAGGGAGAGGGAGAGGGAGAGGGTAGAGAGGGAGAGGTAGAAGGAGAAGGTAGAGAGGGAGGAAAAGGGAAGGAAGGAGGGAGGGAGGGAGATCAGGGGAAAGGAAAGAGAAATTAAAAGGGTTTTGAGTAGAAAAGTAGAAAAGAAAACTAGAATGAAAATTTTACAGTACAAAAACTAATAATGAATAATCTTGAGACCGAGAGATAAAAAGGGTACTTGCCATGAATAGAAAAAAAATGAATATGAGGAGGAAATCGCTCTGAGAGGATAACGAATAAAGAAAAATAATGTAAAAAAAAGGGAAAGTTAAGTATCCGAAGTTTTAAACTCGACGGTTTTTGAAACGGAAGGGAAAAGTAGGAAGAAAGGAAAGGGAAAATATCGCAGACAAAGGCAAGAGGTACGAAGTGTCTAGGGGTGAGAGGGAGGGGGTAAGAGGGGGGGTGTGAAGGGTGATGGCTTAATAAAATAAAAGAGAGAAACGCGGGGTCGAAAAGAGAGAGAGAGAGAGAGAGAGAGAGAGAGAGAGAGAGAGAGAGAGAGAGAGAGAGAGAGAGAGAGAGAGAGAGAGGGGGGGGGGGAGATGAATAGAAGAGGAAACGATCAAGAAACGTAATGAAAGAGACGAGATTAAAGAACACGGATAAAAAAAAAGAAAACGGAAAGGAGGTAATAAATACCCGACATTGAGCGCAAAGGGAACAGAAAGAGAGAGAGAGAGAGAGAGAGCGAGAGAGAGAAAGAGAGAGAGAGAGAGAGAGAGAGAGTGAGTAGGGGGGGGGGGGCTTAAAAATCGGGTGGAAAAAAA